TTTGAGACCCTATAGGACCAGTGCTAGTAGAGGATGTACTTGTGTATTTGTATATGGACAAAAGTCAATGAGATATAAACTACCAAAACTGAAAAAAATAAAATTTAAAAAAAGTTTATTGATGCCGTTTTTACCACATTTTAAACATGCAGTAGTTATACAGTTTTTTTTTGTTTGTTTTTGTTTTGTTTTGTTTTTAGCTTATAGATTAGTGAGGAAACCATGTTTGAATTTTGAATTCAGGGGATATTAGTATTGTTTTCACCATAGAATTTGCAGGGCTGATAGGGAAGAATTTTATTATATTTTACTTATTTGTTTGTGGCAGCAAATGATTTAAAAAAAGACTCATCTTTGTATAAAATGTCTAAATTGGTTATAATTGCTCGGAAAACCGAGGCACTCTCTTCTGAAAAGTTTGATAACCACTAGGTACCACTAGATGGCATCCTTTCCCTACATTTTCCCATTAAAACGCTCGCCTCATGTCCTAAAATTACTTATTAAACAGAGGTTTTTAATTGAAATGAGGTTGTCATTTGAAATGAAAACAATTTCTACTTCATATAGAGACATTTGACAAAAGGAATGATCCCTTCAAAGAGGCATCCTCCAAACAAATGGAATAATTTCCTAAACTTTGAATGTAAGGGTAAAGAAAATAGGAAGCTGTAAGGGAATGCATGAAAATCCGGGCATTATCAAACAATTTTTAAATTTTCTTGTGAATATATTGAAAATAACAACAAAGGAAAAGTCATGTGTTGTTGATAGAGACATATAAAGTAAGGGATGTAGCAGGTGGAAGATACGGCGGAGGAAGAGACAGAGGAGGACATGGCAGTAGGGCAGTGATTTAATTAGCACCCTCTACCCCCTCCAGCCCTTCACTCATAGCATCAATAATGCATGGCCCCTTGTTTCTACTGCCATAATTAATCCCCTCTTACTATAATTAAAAGCCAAAACTCCCACAAGATGGTTCAGCTTGGCCAGGCAAGGGGTAGGGTTGGCACAGGAACTAATGAAACGCTCACCCTGTGGACGGACACGTTGACAGGATGAGACGAGTTGACAGACAGATCAACAGTCCAAAACTGAACTCTGCCACAGATACCGAGGATGAGATGAGCAGAAAAGCTGAAACTTGAGAGAAAAGACAGACAAATGACACGAAAACATTTGAGAGAGAAATGTGTTCCTGGAGCTGTTGCGTGTTGGATTTGTGAATGAGCGACGTTGGAAAGAAGGACAGATCCACGAGCGTGTAAACCCACACCGAGGCGTGCACGCAGTTACTTACAGAGGCATACCGCTCCCACGTGAGATCCTTCTCTGCTGCAGCCAAGTCTTGACAAGAGGAAGAGGTGGAGCTTTCTGATGCTGCAATTAGGACCACACTATCTGGGCAAGCAAACCGAGATGAATATTTCAATCCGGAGAGCTCCGTGGGTACCTATCTGTGGCGGGGGCCTGGCACACCTACGGGCACACGTTCAGACACCCAACACACACCGGTGAATACAAAAACTACCCAGGATTCCAGAATAATTCACCTACCTTCCAATCACAGATGCCGGAATTATCAAATCTGTCTCTCAGCTCCCTTTCGGTGGATTATTGTACAAGATTCACGCCATAAGGATAGATTTGCATTGGTATAGGCTGAGTTTTGTGTAGCTGATGGATGCTTTTATCTTTGTGGAAATGGGTGCAGGGAGCGTGCAGGTCTGGCCACGTGCCAGGAAACAGCACAGCCGGGGGAGCAGAGGTCACTTTTCAGCCTTAATGTCCTCCCCTGAGTCCCTGCTTCTCTCGCAACAGAGAGCACTCACCTGACTCAGTCACCTGTCAAACATTTTTAACCAGCTTCTGACTTCAGGAGCCCTGGACCTTGCAGGTACTTCTCACAGCACCTCACCACTGTAAACGCACTCCCTTCGGTCTCCCTCCTGCCCCGCCAGCCTCGGCCCCATCTCCACTTGATTTATCGCCCTAAAATACCACTGCACTAATTAGTCAAGTAATTAATTAATAGGCATTTGCATTTGTGCATATGCAATTAGGAGGCTGACGAGAAGAGAGTGCAGCTGGGGTCCGGGAGTCTGGGGGGGGTGGAGGGGGATGGTCCCCGTGTGTGTTGTATGTGAGCGTGTTTTTCTACGCATGTAGAAGTTTGCACTTCTCACAGAAAGACAACTGAAGAGCAGGTCATCACCTCACACGTCTGCGAGAGATGAGGCGGATGCGGGGGGTAGGATGAAGATGCAGGAGGTGTTTACTGACAGCTCTGAGATGCGAGTCGACGTCATTTGACTATTGAGAATCCGATATCTTAAAGAGAGGGAGCTTCATTTTCTGCATTTTGATTGCGTGCAATGAAAAGCACAGCAGGTGGCCCTTACTTAGACTAATCCGCCTTCAAAACGGACGCAAAGTGATTCTAAAATGCCACAAATCCGAACAATCTCCCCTCGGGCGTTTGAATATCAGATCAAAGTCTCCCTGATTTGGTGCTGCTTTGAGCCCACTGCTGGCTAAACTCGAGCTGTTGACATTTAGCATTTATTTTGGCAAGGTGACCCGAAGGTTGTTTGGAACTTGTTGAGAATAAACCCCATCCCCTACTTTTCTCAATTGACCGCTGCTATCCAGTCCCCCACACCTCCCCACACGGCGCAGCTGAGGAAGGATAGGGCATCCGTTTTGGCTGATGGTGCCGCTTGATGCTCCTCTACACACTCGCAAGCTGACACAATCACACCAACGTGGTCTGGGGTAGTGCCAGGTTATCATCAAGGCTAATCCCATAAGGGAGGAGACACATTAGTGAGTCTGCACTCCCGCCACAGCTGCCGTGCTGCTGGTGACCCCACAGATGACCCCCTGCAACCTCCGAAAGGCCCCTGAGTTGTGTCTGCAGAGGTCCAAGCCCAAGGACATGATGAGCTTCCATCAGCTATTTCTCAGCCACCATGGTCCCCGCTCGCCCAGCCCAGTGGGTCTGCTCATGCCAACTTGGACTTTGTGGTCATCAAGCTCATTTCTAGCACATTAACTTCGATAATACCTCCTTAATAGAGAGATCTCAGAGCTGGGAAGGACACAATGCCGCAAAACCAGACACACTGAAGGGAAGCAGGAATTCTTGCGTCTCCTCCGTTCATGTGCCAACATGCCTCCTCCTTATTCTCGGGCACCTCTGCCAGCTCCAACCGGCATCAATTCCTTGTCATCCTCCACTGCGCCCCCTCTTCCTCCTCATTTTTCATACATCCCTCGTGGACATGCACACCTGGGTCTCACGCTCTCGCTGTGCGTGCCTCCCCGCTGCTGGCAGCCCTCACTCAGCACTGCAGAAATCGCAAGCTCTCCGACAGCAGCTACCCATAGACGTCCGCCTGTCTGTGCGCGGCGTCACATGTTTTAATATGATTTCATCGGAGACTCTGGCAAGTGGGTCGGCCTCAGCCGGAGCCAGGCCCAGAAGAGTCAGAACAAATCACAATTGGTTTTGGTTGCCGTTCCTCTGAATTTCATGAAGGTATAATTTGATCCAATTAGGTAAATAAATAAACAATATGCCTTCTGTTCCATGGCCTTAATGCACTTATAATTCATCCCCTCCCCCTCCCCCCTGCTCCCACTCAGGCATGAAGGAACCAAATATGTGTTGTAGGGTGAATCAAAACTAAATCCAGCTTATTCAGTGTTGATTTGGTAAAGAGCTTCATAATGGGCTTAATGCAGCATTGTTTTTCATCTTTTCAAACTGAAAACTTGTACATGAGCATAATTAATTGCTTGGCTAGTGGGTTTCGTAGCTGCACTTGTTTCTGATTAAGATGAGGTCAAGGCTTATTTACTGTGCTGTCACTTAAGCATATTTCACACATAAAACTGAGGCTGATCTCGCCATATTATACATCGACCTCACCATACTCACATGTCTGTATTTATAGCTTTTAGTAGCATCTTCCTTGTGGTGATTGCGGCATCCCACTCACTTATTGGCCATTAACAGTGCGTTTGGCAGGTGGATGAGAAATTTGGATTTTAAAAAGTGGCCTACATGTCTGGAGGCAGCAGCTCAGGTCAGAAATGATGAGTTTTGTTGTTCCTTCATTTTATTTTCTCCCTTTCTCTTCTGTTTTTCCTCTCTTTTTTTCTGGCTGTGTGAGCGCTGCCGCGGTGGCAGATATCGAAGCCCTCCCCCTCCCCCTCCTCCTCCTCCACCACCATCTCCATCTCCTCCTCCACCTCCTCCTCCTCCTCCTCTCTCTCTCTCTCTCTCTCTCTCTCTCTCTGTCTCTCTCTCCTTTTCTTCTTTCTCTCTGTGAGTCTCTCTTCCCCCGGGAGGGCAAATCTCTCCGAATGCGGGCGCATGTCAATCACCGGGCTCTCATGTGATGGCTCTTGCCGGTGACGTGCCAGCCATATGGGCGCTGGCATCGCAGCCTTAGCTGGTATGTAACCCCTTCCCCGGTAGCTCACGGTTGCCATACGTGCACTGACACACACACTATCCCTCTCTCTCTTTCTCTCTCTCTCGATCTCAGTCACTCTGTCTGTCTGTCTCTCTCTCTCTCTCACACACACACACACACACGCACGCACGCACCTACACACACACACACACACACACTCGCCACACTCGCGCACACACGCGCGCGCGTTTACATCCATGCATACATGCCCTCACGCATGCACACGCAGACGCGCCAGGACGCCGGGACAGGAGGACGCACCGAGCGACCCATCAGCGACAGTAAACGACAGCCGCGCGCCTCCCGCACCTGCACGCTGAAGGAGAGCGGTGCTTCGCTCGCTCCTGCGTCCCCGAAGATGGTTTGAAACCGAAGCGCGTGTTTTTTTTTTCTCCCCTCATCCTCTCTGTTTTCGCCTCCCGTCCGCCGCGAAAAGCGAAAGCAAAGGTAAGTCACGTCAATTGTTTTTATTATTATTATTATTATTATTATTATTATTATTATTATTATTTATCTAAATAAGTAAATGAAATGATAAAATCTGAGACGCTGAATCCAAAATGTATGAATGTATGAGACAAACAATTTTTTACGCATGCACGTCGCTTGTAATTTGCAGGCTCTTTTGGCACGGATCCACATGGACATCTAATCATCTAATTGTTCTAGCAGGTTCGCATCCATCCAACGCAATGCGAGCGATGTAAGAACAAAATATCACGCTGACGGCACAAGCCTGGTCAGGCACGTAGCTCGGCAATAATGTGGCTCTGCCAGCTTTGTCCTTCAACTTTTGACACCAGAAGCTACCTGGATGATAAAAGCTATTATAGCCGGCCTGTGCCAGTTTCACCCCCTGTTGGATCGTTTTTCAGGGAATCAGTCCTGAGGATTGGAGAAGCCTCTGATGGCAGTAGATCATGCTGGACACTGATTTGCTGGTGAGATTCCTGCGGTTGGACGGTGATGATCTGATAAACAAAAGACAAGGAGAGAGACAAATAAGATTTTTTTTTCTTTCTTTTAATCAGCTTTGAAACAAGGAGGTCAACGACAGCTTATTGGGAGAACTACTGCTGATTTCTATTTCTTTTTTTCTTCTTCTACTCCTTTTTTACGATTTGTACGGTCAGACTCGAAGCAAATTAAAGGGTGGGACAACTGACCATAACAGGCTTGATTTACCTCCACTTGTCCACTTTTCCCCCCCTCTCCAGTCATTACTTAAAAACACTCAAGGGTTTTGTGTGTGTGTGTGTGTGTGTGTGTGTTTTCTTTTACGAGAGCTAAAAGGATACAAGCGATTTCCATTTGTAAAATCTGAAATCACGCACTCGTGCATATTGAATTAAGTGTGAAATCCATTTCGTGCAAGATGCATGTTTTGTTAATTAAATGTTGCTGCGTTTTTTTTTCCCTCTAATTGTGGAAACCTCCCGAGCCTGAGATTTAAAAACTAGATTTTGCCCCTGGCACAGCCCCCGAGATAATTAAGCAAGCATCAGAGCCCACCTTACTGCTGCAACGTAAAAGTAACATGCAAGGAAGGAACAGAGTCAAAGTTACCTTGTGATTAATTCACTTCTGCTAATAAAGTGGTTATATTGGCAGAATATATATATATATATATATATATATATATATATATATATATATATATATATATATATATATATATATATATATATATATATATAAATTTTCAACAGAAACAATCGTTAAATCTGTATTTATAAAGATATGGCCCATTAATTTCGTTAAATATTTGCCAGATGCTTCCGGATTAAATCCCTTCTCGAGGCAATTAAAAAGAATTTTCTTGTGGATGAATAGTGCTGGAATGCAGCCAGAAGTATATATGGGCGTCAGGAGGAGTGAAAGCGGGGGCCCCCGGGGGACCTGTAATGTGGCCCCTGCCGCTGGGACCCGCTGCGAGAGGACGCGACAGGGCAAAGCAGTGACAGCAGGGAATTAAATGGGGATCCGTCCAGCTGTAAACCAGCGGAAAGCCTCGAATCTGTCTCTCTAGAAATTCCTCACTCTTAAGATGTGTCCTTCGGTCCTTTGTGACAAATGTGACCTTTTATCTTACACTGTTGACTTAATGTACAGAAAAAAATATCAAACACTGTTATAATACAAGACTCGTCTGCGTAAGGAGAATTGTGTTTTTTGAGAAGCAGCATTGTGCGACTGGTTTTCTTCCACACTGTGATTGTTCTATCCCTCTGAGATTTTTTCCCCCTCCCATCTCCCCACAGATTCACAATGTTGACGAGGCTTTTCAGTGATCCTTCGTTGCTTCCCGACGTGCAAAAATACTCCGCCTGGGCGGAAGACAGCGATGGAGAGGACCACAAAATCAAAGACGAGGACCAGGACGCGCAGGACGACATGGAGGCATCTGACCTGAGGGGAGGCAGTCGGACGCACTCGGAGCACGCCGGGGACGACGACGAGGACGACGACGTGGAAGAAGACGAGGACGGTGAGGATACTGAGGGTGACAGGCCCAAGAAAAGGGGCCCCAAAAAGCGCAAAATGACCCAGGCTCGAATCGAGCGCTCCAAGCTGCGGAGGATAAAGGCCAACGCCAGAGAGCGGACCCGGATGCACGATCTGAACTCTGCGCTTGACAATCTGCGTAAAGTTGTGCCCTGCTACTCCAAAACGCAAAAACTGTCCAAAATCGAGACGCTGCGATTGGCAAAAAACTATATCTGGGCCTTGTCGGAGATACTGCGCTCTGGGAAGAGGCCTGATCTTGTTTCCTACGTCCAGACGCTGTGCAAGGGTCTCTCCCAGCCCACTACCAACCTGGTGGCTGGATGCCTGCAGCTGAACTCCCGCAACTTCCTCACTGAGCAGCAGTGTCAGGACGGGGGCAGGTACGGCTCCGGCTCCTTCTCCATGCACTCCTACCCGTACCAGTGCGCGCGTCTGTCCAGCCCCCACTGCCAGCCGGGCTCGAACTCGCATCCGCTGAGGACGCACGGTTATTGCTCGGCGTACGACTCCCTGTACGGTGGGAGCGGGTCACCGGAGTACAACAGCCCCGAGTACGAGGGCCCTCTCAGTCCGCCCCTGTGCATCAACGGCAACTTTTCCCTCAAGCACCAAGGCTCTGCGTCCCCGGAGAACGAGAAGGGGTACCACTACTCTATGCATTACTCTGGCCTGCCTGGCTCCAGACCGGCAGGGGCCCACAATCTGGTGTTTGGCTCCTCGGGGGCCCGGAGCGGCATTCACTCTGAAAACGTCCTGCCTTACCATGACATGCACTTACACCACGAGCGGGCCCCCGTCTATGATGAACTGAACGCGTTTTTTCACAATTGAAAAGTGAAGCCCATCGTGCATCCTCTTGTTGTCAAAATCACCCACGGCACACTTTCGGACAATAAGCCCACCAGGATCCGGACAGTATCCTGGACATAATATTATTATTAATAATAATAATAATAATAATAATAATAATAATAATAATAATAATAAATCCTCTCACTCATTGTTTTCATTGGTGTTTTTTCTTTCTTTACCTGTCAACATCCAGTCTGTTTTTGTTATAGTCAGGGATGTAGTGGAAGGAAACCTTAACTACAATCTCATTTTGCGCAATAAAAGCTTCCCATCCCTTGAAAGTGACATGCATTTCAAGAGGACTTCATAAACAAACCACATAAGAAGACAACAAACGGATTTGAAATAATATTTATCATGTGTGATTTGTGTTTGTAGTGGTGATTGTTTGCATTTTGGTGGAAGGACGTCCTACTACACCTCCTCACATTTTTTCCCCTCCCTAAGTACCACTACATCGCTGGCTATACAGCAACACTCACCTAAAAGTGGTGGTTATGTTATAAAGGAACAATAAAAAAATGTAAAAAAATCACCTGCAAGGGACGAAATGAAAAAAAAAAATCTAACAGGAGTGCAAAAACAAATGCTGAGCTGTTAAAACATAGAAGATGTGTTGGTTGGGTTGTTTTTGAAATTATTTGTATATATATTTTTTCCCGCCAGGAAATCAGTCGTTTGGCATCTATGCAAAACCCTATGAGAACACGAAGCGAGGCAGAGAAAGGCCCCGAAAGACACTGATCTAATGACAGCACTTTTGCTGCACACACACACTCTCTCTCTCTCACACACACACACACACACACACACACACACAAACACACACACACACACACACACACACACACACACACATTGGAATCACACTTAGGAAACCTGACAAACATGCTCTGGCCAAAATCTTCAACTGAAGTCAACAGTCTGATATACACTGGAACTGACAATGGAAGATATTTATGACATTATTAATTTATTTATATCGTTTTGTTAGCCAACAGCTCTATTCAACTGGAGTTTTTATTTATTACCAATGTATTATTATTATTATTATTATTATTATTATTATTATTATTATTATTATTATTATTATTATTATTATTATTATTATTATTATTATTATTATTATTGAACAGGTTTTATTATTTATTTTGTAATTATTGTTAATAGTCAATTGAAATGAAGGGAACGGTATGTTGCTGGCCATTTTTTCCTTTTTTTTGTTTGTTTTGTTTTTCATAGAAACTCAAATCTTTCAACTTTGTATTCAACCAACTGTGTGGTAAAATAAAAAAAATAACAATAAACGAGACTGTGGAATTGGATTGTGTTGTATGCATATATGCGCACCTACTGAACATGCAACACATATTTTATGCTATAAATTAAATGTTCCTGCAAATAAGGTCGAGAGAGGGAGACAGACAGAGTTTGGTGAGCCGCAACCAGCAGGGGGTCCTTTGAACTTTGGGGCCTTTAATGTTAATGAAAGGGGAAGGAAAGAGCGAAATTGTATTTTATTAATTCTTAATAAATTAAACAAGTAAAGACAGATTTTTTTTTTTCACACAGCAACACAATCATTTGGTCTTGACAAAATGAATGTTCATTTGAGTTGAGCTCAGAAGAGATCAGCAGGTGTAAAACACAGATCCGATGATGTCAGGTCGCTTTAGCATTCCAATGGCAACTGGAAGTGTTTCAACCAATAAAGTTACAATATAGACACAAAATATATATTTTTTTTAATTTTTTTCAGCACCACGGAGAGCTCTTGTTATTTTGCATTACTTTTTTTTTTTTTTTTTTTTTAAATTAGACTTCTAGGACATATTTTGGAAGGAAGTTAACGCATTCTAACTATTATATTCCAGAATTCAAACATAAGAAAAAAATGAGTTATGTTTGTGCATCGTCTTCAAATAACTTCCATTTACAAGAAAGACTACTAAGATCAAACGTATGGATTTAATAAAATCTGAAAAGTTATTTCTGTAGCAATTTAGTAACTTAGTACTTTAGCCGAAGATTAAATTGATTTAGTTATTTATTTACCAGAAATGGTCAATTTCGCTGCGGCATATTTGAAAAAAAAAAAACGTACCTTTATTTTTTATACGTATATTATTTTCACTAATTCGTTTTAATAAAAACAATCATCTTCACAGATATAAGGTATTATTATTATTATTATTATTATTATTAAAATGTATAAAATCCAAGTTAACATCCGCAGCAGAAGAAAGGTTTTGCGCTGTAAATACGCACAAATTAGTTTTTTCTGGTGTCCAAACACACGGTTCCAGTCACAGGAGTGCAGAGGGCAGCCGTTGCCACCCCGGCTGGGTTTGGAGCGCTGCCCCGAGACCCATATGTTCTCCCCAAAATGTCCCGAGTGCTGTGCGCAGTAAGAGCACAGACTTTTGTTCACTGGTGTTGATCATCAGTATAAATACTCTCACAATATTTATAAGTGCAAATGCTTACATGTTTTTCATCTATTTAAAAAAAACATGATGAGAAAACGCAACGCAAGCATTTTTCTTTTTTTACATAGAAATAAGTCACATGATTTTTTTTTCTTCCTGTTTATTGATATCAATTGTTTGTTTTTTTATGTCAACGTCCGCCGGTTAACCTAAAGCAACTATACTTTATGTTTGCATAAAGGCACATTTGGGCAGAAACAATCTATTTGGTTCTCTTCTGAAAAACAAAAACACTTTTAAAATTAGCTTTAGTTAAAAACAGCCTTAACATGAAAATGAACCAGTTGCTTGCTTGAAGTTGTAAATTAAAAAAAAAAACAAGAAAAAAAGAGAATAAAAATAAAGTATGACAATAGAAAGTGCAGTTAACCTAGGTTTCCAAAGATTCCGCTTCTGAAATAATTGTAACATTTATTTATTTATTTATTTATTTATTTATTTATTTATTTATTTATTTATTTATTTCTGGAACGTTCTGGAGATTAGGAGGCGTTTGGCTGACTCACTGAACAGTATTAACTCCTTGTATTAAATTTTGTAGGTTAATCGGTGTCTTTTGTAACACCGTTTCCAACCTGTTCTATTTGGCAGATATTTACACCTGTGGGACTCCCTGCAGGGAACCAAACCAGCAACCCCGCGGGGTTTCTTCAGGTTTGCTTGAAACGCCAAAAGAGGCTGCTAGGCCATCTCCATCTCTCTCTCTCTCTCTGTGCGTATATATATATTTTTGTTCCACTTTTATGTAACTTTTAGGCCGCTGTTTCTTTGGATTCATCAGAAAAGAGGAGAGGGAGGAACGCTGCAGGAGTTGGTCCAAAAGTGAAACGAGCCAGCAATGGAGAGGGCATCTATCAAAAAAATACCTCCCGAATGCGCCACCATTACAACCAGCACCACCTCCTCTTCGTCCACAGAAGTCCGGTGAGAGTGAGGAAGAGAGAAGGCTGGCAGGCTGGCGGAGGAGAGTCGTGCCAAGTCCCTTAATGTTCCCCAGCAGCAGCACCAGGAGCTCCGGGGAGGACAGCCTGGCGTGCGCCAGTGCGCCGCGGTTCACCGGGCCAAAGTGGCACTGCTGGGAGGAGTCGATGTTTCTTTCCTAATTTTTGCAGCATCTGTTCATTATCCAGGATGCTGAAAAAACGAGAAAGAGAGAGAGAGGGCTCATCCTGGGCAGCCCTTTGAAACACACACTCTCATAAACATACAGTAGTAAGACTTTTTTTTTTTTTTTTTTGTGAATAGCTGTTCCATAAATATGCATATATCTCTCTAACGCTGTGTCGTACATGAGCTCATGCATTGAAATTAGCGGGTGTTGCATTCTTGGAATTTGACTGTTGACATGCTTTAACCTTGCAACATATTATAGTCTGGTACCACGCGTGTAAAGACAAATGTGACGGCTAAACTGCCGAAGAAAAAAAAGAAAGAAAAAAAAAAGAACTACACAACAAAAGCAATCAATAGATTGTAAAGATTCCTAAAAAATATAGCTAAAGCTTTGAAAAAGTGAAAACAGACTTTTATTTCAATAGAAACAATTCCCAGAGCGTTAGATTTTGTCAATCGACATTATTTTTGTCAAGAAATAATATCGAAAATAGTTCGAAATAATCATGCAGTTATAAAAGGACAAAATCAATAGTTTAATAAATATTAAAATCAGACATTTTACACAAACATGTAAACAATTCTCAGTGCTCATGCAATTTCACGTAGCTGAAAAGTATTGCGTTCACTTGAAATTAGGTTAAAGGAGAAAATTAAATTAAAAACATGAAACTTCCAGTGACACTCCGTGCTCCACTCAGGATGAAAAGTGAGTGAATGAATCTCGCTGTTTAAATTATCATGTTCATGCCCACTCATTTTCTCACTCAACTTGGTAAGAAGGGGAAAAAATCAGGAGTGTTTGTCCGACATAACAGTCAAAAGTGCGATTATCAAAATGTCACAAGTACTATGGTGTGAATTCCAATTAACGTCGAGTTAAAATAATAACGGAATGTTGTTGTTTTTTTCCTCTGCAAAATAAAATTAAGGGAAAAAAATGTTTATTCAGTGCAGTGAAGCGGAATGTAATCTGGTCAGGAGATGGTGAGCACTTGCAATCTGTTAGGGGTATAACAAGATGGCTGCAGCTTAACCATGCCTCTCTCACGTAGAGAACACATAATAATATGAAAGAGGGGGAAAAATGTAACAAAGGGTAAATTGCTGACTTCTCTGGCACCTGCAGACAACAACAAAATGCGCCACATGTACAGAGAGAAATCTTATGCGCACTTTGGCCAACCTCTTTACCAGAGCCAGACAAGGGGAGCAGTCCATTCACAAGAAAATTCCACAACATCTGTTTGGTGTCACACAATAAGGGCGCGGTGGAGTGTACAGGCAGGCCAGCTGAACTACTGCTGGAGGTTCCGCCAGGGGACAGGCTCCTGGTACGGAGGAGGAGGAGGAGGAGGAGGAGGAGAGAAAAGAGAGCAGAGACAGGAGAGGTGGAGATTCGGGTGAGCGCCAGGTAGGTTTGAGGCCCTTTGGAGAGTGGCCAGGTAGGTTTGTGTGCTTCCAGATGTTCAGGAAGGGAACCTCAGAACCTCCGCGACAGTTTCCCTTCAACACCCGGAAGTCCAGCTGCGTTGTGCACCGGAGGGTCCGGAGCCGGAGTGTGGCTGGCCCAATGTTTAGGAGGTTAAGTAGGACCGCCACTGGATCAGATATGGAGGATGAAGGTGTGGGGGTCGTTACTGGTCTGCACAGATGGCATGTATGCGCGCGTGTAAAGGCGTGTGCGTACGTGTGTTATGATAGGGTTGGGTGATGGCCTGGTCACATGGGCAGCAGTAATTGGCCTCCATATTGACCGGTTTGCGGCGCTGGGGGGCGGGCGGGCTCCCAGCTGGACCTGTCAAATGGCATCGCATCCACCTCACTGATCTCTCCTCCACGGACGACCTCCGAACCTCTACCCCCTTTCCCCCACTTTCATCTTCCTTCTCCTTCCCTTCATCCTTCCATCTCCACCACCTTTAATCTCGCGGTGCCCGCCTCTCCCGT